AGACATCTCTGCAGGCTCGGCATCCGGAAAACCCAGTCCTGCCAACAAGCTCTTGGCAGCAGGTGCCACGTTACTTTGCAATAAAAGAGGCTGAAGAAACGTGAAAGAAATGGAGTAGAGTCTCCTGGGTATGTTTTGGACATGCTCTACCGAAACTTAAATGTCAAAGATGTTCTTTAAGAGGGTTTTCATTTTTTTCTGAATAACTCACACCTGAAACATTCAGAGATAAAGGACTTCACGGAAGTAAAAAAATGAGCAGAAGTGTCTAAAAGCTACACAATTAGCATTTAGACTATCAAATGTTTATCTAACTCATTATTTAATTTGTAACATAAACACTACTATTTTCAAAAGAAGTTCAGATCTCAAAATTCTTGGATTTACATCAAATAGATTCAGCGCTTTAAAGAAGTCGTCACCCTCGCCAGCATCTGTGAAACCTCACCTTTAAAACCTGAAGATAGGGCAGTCCATCTGGTCCGTATTTACTGCCATTCTTCTCGACATGTTTTATCCACTGAATGTGAGGCTGAGCATCACTGTAGACTTTGCAGACAAACTCGACGTCACCTCCGACGATGGCAGAGGCGTTTGCTGGAAGGCCAGCTTGGAGGATGGGCCTGTGCGGTGATCGCTCTGTTTGGGTGGGGAAGGGGAGCGAGAGAGAGAGAGAGGGAAATAAAGATGCATAAATAAGCAGAGCTGCCAAGAAAACTGTAAGTGAACTCGAGCCAAAAAGCCCTGTAAGCCTGTTGGCTGACTCCTCCGAAATAACACTGCAGCCAAAACGTATAACAAAAACTACAGTTCAAAGGAGATGACTTGAGCACTACACTTGTAATATAAAGAATAGCTATTTGGGGGGAGGGGAGAAAGAATGCTTAAAACCTTTAAGTCTTTTTCATAGTTCAACTCAGCAAGAATTAAGTAAAATATCTTCCCTTTTTTTATTTCGAGCTATTCATATCTCTGAGTTTTAAAACATTCGAACTGGACTAAACCTTCACAAATTACAAAGTAATATTATTAATTTTAAAAACTGATTAATGTGTTAAACCAAAGGGAATTTCTCAAAACCAGCAGCAGAAGCCTCAGCACTGAAACTCCTCGTGCGGGGTGCGCATACCAAACACCTTGACTTTTCAGAACGCGCTGTCCAGGACTACCACGACAGCCACTCTCTA